AATCCAAACTCCTCTTCTTCTCTTCTTATTGCAATCCTGTTAATGTTTTCATCCAAGCTAAATTATAAATTTTTCCCATTCTTTTTGAAGTTTTGGTCTTCATGTTTCCTGAGCTCTCCGGTCATTTTCACTATTTCGGCGTAGTCCAATAGTTTAATTTGCCATTCTTCTCTGGTAGGGACTTGATCTTCTTTCCATCTCTGGGCTAGTAGCATCCGTGCGGCTGTCGTCACATACATAAAAAGTCTTTTCTGCTCCTTTGGAATATCAGCACCTACAATTTCTAATAGAAAAGCCTCTGGTTGTTGTTTTTTAAAATAAAAGTTAGTTTAAACATTTTTTTCAACTCATTATATATCATTTCACAGAATGCTTTTTTTATCTTACACTTCCACCACATATGGTAAAAGGTGCCATCTTTTCTTTACATTTCCAGCAGATATTTGTACCTGTCTTATACATTTTTGCTGGTTTAAAGGTAAAGGTAAAGGGACCCTTGACCATTAGGTCCAGTCGTGGCCGACTCTGGGGTTGCGGCGCTCATCTTGCTTTATTGGCCGAGGGAGCCGGCGTACAGCTTCCGGGTCATGTGGTCAGCATGACTAAGCCGCTTCTGGTGAACCAGACCAGCGCACGGAAACGCCATTTACCTTCCTGCCGGAGCGGTACCTATTTATCTACTTGCACTTTGACGTGCTTTCGAACTGCTAGGTTGGCAGGAGCAGGGACCGAGCAACGGGAGCTCACCCCCTTGCGGGGATTCGAACCGCTGACCTTCTGATCAGCAAGTTCTAGGCTCTGTGGTTTAACCCACAGTGCCACCCACGTCCCTTTGCTAGTTTACTAGGCGTCAAATACCATCTGTACATCATTTCTTCTTCTTTTTTTAATATATGGGAATCTTTTTTTTTCCAAATTTTGTTGGAAATTTATTACATCTAACGCTGTATTATTAAGATATAATTGGCTATCATGAGATTCCACCAGAACAGTGAGGCCAACACGTTCCTGCCTACTTAGGGTTTCTTAATTAAAATAAACATGTACATAAAATGTAAAATAAAAATGTACATCATTTTCATTTCTTTCACCGTACAGCACGCCGAAAAATGTAAGTCAGTTTTCCATAACCTTTCCCAGTCAGAAAATTGGATCCCTCGCCCAGCCCCAACCCTGGTTTAAATGCATAGATTTGCTGCCATTCCATTAAGTTTGGCTCATTAGTGCTGCTAAAGTTGTTTATTTTGCGGCTTATCCAAAATTGATCCAGACTAATGGCCTCTTAAACATCACGCTGGGTTTTTCCAGCAAAAAACAACAACAATCTACTTCCTTCATCTGATACGACTAATGAAGCCGACTGCAGTCCACAAAAGCTTTAGGCATAATAAATTTGGGATAGCCTTTAAGGTGCCACAAGACTCTTGTTTTAGCCACCAGATAGTCTCTTTGCCTCCAACGTTTAAGGAATTAAATTCAGGGGGGTGGATGCGAGGTGGCAAAAGATCTCTCAGCCTGCTTCGCAAAACGTGGGACAGGAAAGGAGAAGGAAACGGTCGAAAGAGCTGAGTCATTTGTCCCGAGTACAACATGAACGCTCTGTGTATATCAAATATAGCAGCCTTGCGAAATTTCACTGAACGTCATCCACTTTCCCCAACTTCCTCCTGTCAGGAGAAGTCTGCAGGGCGAGGGAAAATAGAATAATAGGGAGCAACTCCCTTGGGTGGAAAAGTTGCGACATTCGGGACTTTTTAGTTTAGAAAAAGATGAGTAAAGGAGGGGGAATGCGACAGAAGTGTATAAAATTATGTTCACAGGTGGTGGGGATGGAAATATGTACATGGGGGGGGGGCAAAGGGTGTTTAAGGAGATAACAGAAATCACTGGGTTAAAGCTGACCAAAAGTCCAGAAGTGGTACCTCAGGTTAAGTAATTCGTTCCGGAGGTCTGTACTTAACCTGAAACTATTCTTAACCTGATGCACCACTTTAGCTAATGGGGCCTCCTGCTGCCGCCGCGCCGCCAGAGCACGATTTCTGTTCTCATCCTGAAGCAAAGTTCTTAACCTGAAGCACAATTTCAGGTTCTGTAACCTGAAGCGTATGTAACCTGAGGTACCATTGTAATCAATTTTCGATGGGGTGGAAGGTTCACAGGCTAGGAAGAACCTGCTCACAAATCTATTGGCAGCTGCATGAATTATTATAGCTAGGAGGTGGAAGGGGCAAGCAGAATACAAAATGGAAGAAATGGTATAAAGAGATGTGGGATATAGCTATTAACGATAAATTAACATGTGCCATTAAGGTAAGATGGGGAAGATGCAGGAGAAATGATTTTGAGGAGAATTTGTAGAATTCACCAGGATTTGGGTAATGGTGGAGGAACTGCTTAAAGTGGTATGATGCTGCTTTAAATGAGTGGTGCTTTCTGGTACCAGAGAAGAATGGCAAAATAAGCTGTTGGACTACGCTGAAATGGCAAAACTGACCAGAAGGTTCAGAAGCCAAGAAGACAAAAGCTTCAAGAAAGAATGGGGGGAAATATATAATTTATTTAGGAGACCACTGTAAGCAGATGAAAACATTAGCAGGATTTTAATAACACTTGTAATGTAACAAATAATATGGACACATACAAAATATAGATTATAAAATAATACACAGTTGAAAATGTTGACATGAAGGAGAGGGCAGGAAGTCTGGAGCTTCAGAGAAATCTTTAAGTATGGCTATGTATTTGGTGTTGCTATAAATCTACACTTGTAAAATCAAATAAAAATTGTTTCAAAAACAAATAAATGTGTGGTGCTTGCTCTGAAAGAATCCTGGGAAATGTAGTTCACCTTTCATAGCGTTAGAATGCCCAATCCACTTAACAAACTACACTTCCCAGGATTCTTTGGGGGGAAGCCGTGGCTCTTAAAGTGGTACAAGGGTTCTTTAAAGCAGCGGTTCTCAACGTGTGGGTCCCCAGATGGTGTTGAACTACAACTCCCATCACCCCTAGCTAACAAGGCCAGAGCTCAGGGATGATGGGAGTTGTAGTCCAATAACATCTGGGGACCCACAGGTTGAGAACCGCTGCTTTAAAGGAACACTGTGGATGTGACCTTTGACATGGCACCTGAGTATTCCAGGTTATCAACATCTGTTTGTATAGCGCCTTCGGGCAGCTCGCACTCATGGCTCTACCCACAGAACCTGTGATAGGAGCGGTACCTGTCAGGCTTCAGGGAATTGGCTTCCCTGCAACGCGCTCTACGTGGGGCTACCTTTGAAGGTGACCCGGAAACTGCAGTTAATCCAGAATGCGGCAGCTAGACTGGTGACTGGGAGTGGCTGCCGGGACCACATAACACCAGTTCTGAGAGATCTGCATTGGCTCCCAGTACATTTCCGAGCACAATTCAAAGTGTTGGTGCTGACCTTTAAAGTCCTAAACGGCCTCGGTCCTGTATACCTGAAGGAGCGTCTCCACCCCCATCGTTCTGCCCGGAAACTGAGATCCAGCGCCGAGGGCCTTCTGGCGGTTCCCTCATTGCGAGAAGTGAGGTTACAGGGAACCAGACAGAGGGCCTTCTTGGTAGTGGCACCCGCCCTGTGGAACACCCTCCCTTCAGATGTGAAGGAAATAAGCAGTTATCCGATCTTTAAAAGACATCTGAAGGCAGCCCTGTTCAGGGAAGTTTTTAATATTTAACGCTGTACTGTTTTTAACACTTGATTGGGAGCTGCCCAGAGTGGCTGGGGAGACTCAGCCAGATGGGCGGGGTATAAATAATAAATTATTATTATTATTATTATTATTATTATTATTATTCCTACCTCGTGGTAGTAGATAAACAGAACAAAGGAAAAGAAGTCTTCTTACCAGTTAGAAACTTTAATAATCACAGTGAGAGAACAAAGAACCCATCTCCTAGGAATGGTGGTGTTCCCAGTTAAGTTCACTCCCCCCTCCGTCCCTATTAATCTTTGTCACTTCTACGTCTTGTAACCTGAGCTTGGAGCCACTGTGTTTTCTGTTCTGCCACTTTCTGAGCTCTCCGGGACTTTGGGGAAGGGGGTGGATACTATCCAGAGACAGTGAATCTGTTAACTCTCTCTCTTCTGGTGTTTCTTCTGCTAGCTGTATTTCCCAGTATTTCCCAGCTTCTGCTTTCTAAACTATGCCCCTCTGCAAACCACTGTTCCAGATCTATACAGTGGTACCTTGGGTTACATACGCTTCAGGTTACAGACTCCGTTAGCCCAGAAATAGTACCTCGGGTTAAGAACTTTGCTTCAGGATGAGAACAGAAATCGTTCTCTGGCGGTGCGGCAGCAGCAGGAGGCCCCCTTAGTGAAATAATAATAATAATAATAATAATAATAATAATAATAATAATAATAATATTCCCCCAGCCACTCTGGGTGGCTTCCAACAAAACACTAAAATACAATAATATATTAAACTTTAGAAGCTTCCCTAAACAGGGCTGCCTTTAGATGTCTTCTAAAAGTTTGGTAGTTATTTTTCTCTTTGACATCTGGTGGGAGGGTGTTCCACAGGGCGGTTGCCACTACCGAGAAGGCCCTCTGCCTGGTTCCCTGTAACTTGGCTTCTTGCAGCGAGGGAACCGCCAGAAGGCCATTGGCGCTGGACCTCAGTGTCTGGGCAGAATGATGGGGGTGGAGATGCTCCTTCAGGTATACTGGACCGAGGCCATTTAGGGCTTTAAAGGTCAGCACCAACACTTTGAATTGTGCTCTGAAACATACTGGGAGCTAGTGTAGGTCTTTCAAGACTGGTGTTGAAAGTGGTGCTTCAGGTTAAGAACATTTCAGGTTAAGAACGGACCTGAGGTACCACTGTAATGTCTTCCTGCTCCTGGGAAGATTCAGGATCAGGATCAAGAGGAATGCATCCCTCAGCACGGTCCCTGACGGTACCGAAACGGTAACAAAAACCAACGTTCCTTTTCACCACTCACATCTCTCCTTATCGCTTCGCAGATTTGACGCTGTCCCAAGATGGCAACAGTTGGATTGGTGTCTTCGTGTGCCGGTGTGCGTCCCATGGCGCCTTTGCTGAGACAGGGGGTTCAGAAAATGAGATCGTCCCAGTTGCACACCACAGCCAGGTCTGCTTCGAAGGATTACTACGAGGTGCTTGTGCTAGGAGGAGGCACCGGCGGGGTCTCCATGAGTGCCCGGATGAAGCGAAAAGTCGGAGCTGGCAATGTGGCGGTTGTGGAGCCCAGTGAGGTAAAAATGTGGCTCTCCCTCTTCTCCTCCTGCCTCCATCCCAGTGGACAGCAAGCTCCTAATATTAATAGTTACCTCCCATGCATCGCATTCCTCTCCCACAGGCATTCCAGACAGAATAATCTTGAGAAGTTCTCTCTCACAGCTGAGCAGGGGTGGGGTGTATATAAATTTGCTAAAAGAAACCAATGTGCATAATTTCAATTAGCTGGTGCTAGGTCTGCTGGGACGCGGGTGGTGCTGTGGGTTAAACCACTGAGCCTAGGGCTTGCCGATCAGAAGTTCGGCGGTTCGAATCCCTGCGACGGGGTGAGCTCCTGTTGCTTGGTCCCTGCTCCTACCAACCTAGCAGTTTGAAAGCACATCAAAGTGCAAGTAGGTAAATAGGTACCGCTCCGGCGGGAAGGTAAACGGCGTTTCTGTGCACTGCTCTGGTTCGCCAGAAGCGGCTTAGTCATGCTGGCCACATAACCCGGAAGCTGTACACCGGCTGCCTCGGCCAATAAAGCAAGATGAGCGCTGCAACCCCAGAGTCGTCCGCGACTGGACCTAATGGTCAGGGGTCCCTTTACCTTTACCCTTTAGGTCTGCTGGGGGAGAAATTTACTGTTCGAAGTTTGTAAGCCTCATTTAAATTAACAGAAGAACACTATAATTTATTTAGGAGACCACTGTAAGCAGATGAGAACATTAGCAGGATTCTAATAACACTTGTAGTGTAACAAATACGATGGACAATATGGACAGATATAAAATATAGACTATGAAATAAAATACAGTTGGAAATGTTGACAATAGGACCCATGGCTGGGATGGGAGGGAAGTCTCGAGATTCAGAGAAATCTCTATATACGTGTCAGGGAACTGCCATCGGAGGGACAGGTGGTGGAGGGGCTCAGGGAGGAAGGAAGAGACTCAACAGCTGAAGCAGGAACCAGCAGGGGGAGGAGTGGATCTCTGAGGGAATGCGAGCAGGAGGGAGGGCTCAGAGACGCTTCCAGCGAGAACAGTGGGGAGGTATCTGAGGCTCCCATAGGGAGACCCACGCCTCGCCGGAAACTGTCACGCCGTGAGTCCAGAAGGCGGGTTTCCGTTAAGGAGCTCTTATGTTGGAGACGATTCCGAAAACAACCACTGTCGGAATCTACAAGTGACTAGGGCAGACATGTTTGTGGAGCTCTGTCACACACAGAGGTTTGTGAAGTGGCACAAACTCTGAGGGAGCACGATTTTACGCACAAGCAGCTAATCATCCCATCACAATACGGATATGTATTTGGTGGTATTATAACTTTTCATTTGTAAAATCAAATAAAATTGATTAAATTTTTTTAAAGAACAATACTTCATGGCGGGATTTTAAGCAAGCAATCAGAGAGAGTCGCCCTCAGATCATTTTTGCCTGAGACAAGATGTTCTCCTGTTAACAGGGTAGGATTGAACGCTGCTCACCCACGTATAAATTGTCTCATTTTTGGCCTTCATTTTTGATACTTAGGGGGCTGCAACATTCCTGTCTTTTTGCATTGCATCCAGAACAATAAATGCTTCTTGACCTGGAAAGATCACTCACCGGGCGGGGTGTGGGTTGCTGTTCTCATCTAGAAATAGAACATCCAGGACTTGGGCTGAGTTTACACATTTTGAAATATTAAAATTTGTCGCCAGGTGGTGAACATAATCTGCAGCTGCCCTATATGGAGTCGGAGCACGCATTCAGCTGTAGGCTAGGGAGACATTTGGTTCAGTACACTTTTAAAGACAAATCATTGTAACTCGCACCATGTGAGAACCAAAACACAGCAATCCATCAGAATTTGCACTTCTCTGAATTTTGCTCTGCTGTTCTCCAGCCATGTATTGTGTACAAAACTACATACAGTGGTACCTCGGGTTACATACGCTTCAGGTTACATATACTTCAGGTTACAGACTCCGCTAAGCCAGAAATAGTACCTCGGCTTAAGAACTTTGCTTCAGGATGAGAACAGAAATTGTGCTCCGGCGGCGCGGCGACAGCAGGAGGCCCCATTAGCTAAAGTAGTGCTTCAGGTTAAGAACAATTTCAGGTTAAGAACGGACCTCCGGAATGAATTAAGTTCTTAACCTGAGGTACCACAGTACATTAGAATAAAGCATGTATAAAAAATGGCCATACAGTGGACGCTTGGGTTGCGAACGTGATCCGTGTGGGAAGCAGGTTCACAACCCGCAGTGCCGTGTCTGCACACGTGTGGGTTGTGATTCAGTGCTTCTGCGCATGCACAAAGCGTGATTTAGCACTTATGCACAAGCACCAAAATCCAGAAGTAACCCATTCTGGTACTTCCAGGTTCGTCGTGGTGCGCAACCCAAAATCGCGCAATCCAAAGCATCTGTAACCCGAGGTATGACTGTATTAGTGAAAATAACATGAGGGGAATTTGCTTTGCAGAAATTTATAATGGGCAAAATTGCATACAAGTGTATATCTTAGGATAAATTCACATTGAATACTGCTGAATTTTTATAAGGACCTAAGAAATATAATTCGCAATGTGGAAAAATGAGAACTAGAGAGAAACTAGAGAGAAACAAAAATTGACAGATTTCTGCATTCCTACTGTAACCCCGTATTGTTTATTCTGAGTTGTGGGCTGCTAAAGATTATTAATTGGAGATGTTACAATTTAAGGACTGAGGTACAGATGCTCCTTTCTTACCACACCTGCTTAGCTGACTTTTGAAAGAAGTCCCTCCAGTGCTCAGGCTGTGTGGCTTCTGCTCCTGTTTTTCAGAAGCACTATTTTATTTTTTATTTTTTTAATTATTATCTTTATTAGTTTTTTTAACATATCATTTTCAACAGTAATTAAACATACTTTTACATCTTATTCAAATTTTTGACTTCCATCAATCCTGTCTGAAAATTTTCCAATCTAATCTCTCAGTATGCATTTTTTATCTTCCCTATTACATTTCAAACTTATAACCAATATCTCTATCTTTTTCTGCTTTGTAACACTTCGCATATTTCTCCTTACAAAACTTATTGTAGTAATTTGTTGATTACAGTTGCTCTTCAAATAATTCAGATACTTCTTCCAATCTTCTGTAAATCTCTGATTCCGCAGGTTTTGAATCCTTCCTGTCATTTTGTCCAATTCTGCATAGTCCATTAATTTCATCTGCCATTCTTCTTTCGTCGGAATTTCTTCTTGTTTCCATTTCTGGGCTAACAATACTCTTGCCGCAGTTGTTGCATATAAAAACAATTTAACATCTTGCCTATTAATGTCCTGACCTATAATACCAAGTAAAAATGCTTCTGGTTTTTTTAAAAATGTATATTTTCAGAAGCACTATTATCAGCCGCTCTGGACTTTGGTTGGGGCAGGAGCAAAACCACTGGCACCCTGTTCCCGTCCAACGGCAAGTGTGATTCCTTCCGGTGTAAAGTGGATCCAATCCAGAGTTCAGAAGCTGGATCCAGACAAGAACTGTGTCCATCTGGAGAACAACCAAAAGGTAAGCTCTCAGCTGCCTCTTCATTTAATCCTCCTTGCTACAAAAACTGAAGCTCCGTACTTTACGGAAATTTGTCACCTTGATGGAGAACATTGGAAACTTGGGCTAAAGACAAGCAGTAGACTCACAGTAGACACATTGAAACGGATGAACATCACAAATTAATTTGGAGATGCTATTTGACACCAGTCAGATTAAATCAAATACAGTGGTGCCCCGCAAGACGAACGCCTCGCAAGACGGAAAACCCGCTAGACGAAAGGGTTTTCCATCGCGGAGGCGCTTCGCAAAGCGAATTTCCCTATGGGCTTCCTTCGCAAGACGAAAGCCCATAGGGAAATCTCTGGGACAGCGGGGAAGCGCAGCGCGTCTTCCCCACTGTCCTCGGACCTCCTCCCGCCGCCAGGCTTTGGAAGGCTGCTCCGAAGCCTGGCAGGGGGGCGGAGAGGTTTTTTAAAAACCCCGGGACAGCGGGGGACTTCTCCGCTGTCCGGGGCGATTTTAAAATGCTGCCGGGCGGCAGCGCTGACGCCCGGCAGCATTTAAAAAAACCCGGGACAGCGGGTTTAAAATCGCCCCGGGCGGCGCGTTTCTCCGCTGTCCCGGAGGGCTTTTGAAGGCAGGCGGGGGGAGCAAAGCCTTTCGCCCCCCGCCCGCCTTCAGAAGAGGTCCTGGACCTCTTCTGAAGGCAGGCGGGGGGCAAAAGGCTTTGCTCTCCCCTGCCTGCCTTCCCGGGAGAGCGGAGAAACGCAGCGCGTTTCTCCGCTGTCCCCGACGGCTTTTGAAGGCAGGTGGGGGGAGCAAAGACTTTCGTTCCCCTGCCTGCCTTCCCGGGAGAGCGGAGAAAGGCAGCGCGTTTCTCCGCTGTCTCAGACGGCTTTTGAAGGCAGGCGGGGGGGAGCAAAGACTTTCGCCCCCCGCCCGCCTTCAGAAGAGGTCCTGGACCTCTTCTGAAGGCGGGCGGGGGGCGAAAGTCTTTGCTCCCCCCCCGCCTGCCTTCCCGGGACAGCGGAGAAACGCGCTCCCTTTCTCCGCTCTCCCGGGAAGGCAGGCAGGGGGGAGCAAAGACTTTTGCCCCCCGCCGGCCTTCAGAAGAGGTCTAGGACCTCTTCTGAAGGCTGGCGGGGGGCAAAAGTCTTTGTCCCCCCTGCCTGCCTTCCCAGGGGCTTTTAAATCGCCCTGGACAGCGGAGAAGTCCTCCGCTGTCCCGGGCGATTTTAAAATGCCGCCCGCCAGCATTTTAAGATCGCCCCGGACAGCGGAGAAGTCCTCCGCTGTCCTGGGGTTTTTTAAAATGCTGGGGGTGGGAAGAAAAGCCCTTGTCCCCCCCCCAGCCTTCAGAAGAGGTCGGGGGACAGACTGGACCTGGTCTGAAGTCGGTTTCCCTAGGAACGCATTAATTGATTTTCAATGCATTCCTATGGGAAACCGTGCTTCGCAAGACGAAAAACTCGCAAGAAGAAAAAACTTGCGGAACGAATTAATTTCGTCTTGCGAGGCACCACTGTAAACAAAGAATATTCGGTGTTATGTTGGAAAGGATGCCAGGAAACAGGGAATTTGGTTTACATGTGGTGGGGGTGTAAAGACATACAATTATTTTTGGTAAAGAGTGTTTAAGGAGATAACAGAAACCACTGGGTTAAAGCTGACCAAAAGTCCAGATGTAGCATTATTATTGATTTACCATGGGGTGGAAGGTTCACAGGCTAGGAAGGACCTGCTCACAAATTTATTGACAGCTGCACAAATTATTATAGCTAGGAAGTGGAAGGAGCAAGGAGAATATAAAATGGAAAAATGGTATAAAGAGGTGTGGGATATAGCTATTAACAATAAATTAACATGTGCCTTTAAGGTTAGACGTGGAAGATGCAGGAGAAATGATTTTGAGGATAATTTATAGAATTTGTACTATTAAAAGGGAAAGGGGTCAAGCCATCGCAAGAGGTGTAGAAATTTTGGGAGGTTGCTTAGTTACAATGGAATGGTCTCGGGGGTGGGGTGCACATTTTATTCTTATTTATTTATGATTATTACTTTGTCAAAAAGAAAAAGAAAGAAACTGATGACCATGACTAACTTAGATCCATTCATTTCAATGGGCCTACTCTGAGCAGGAGTTGGGTACAACCCATTGCTTCCAGACGGGGTGTCATAGGAGATTCTACAACTTGTCCCTTGTGTGATTGTTTGGGAGCTGCGATCCTATACACACATTGACCTGGGAGCAAGTCCCATTCAACTTAATAAGGCTTACATGTGAGTGGACATCTATAGGATCACACTGTTAAAAGTGATGTGTAGGCAACTCCCAATTTACGCAGGGTTTATGTTCCAAGGCACCGTGTCCTAAGTGAAATATATATTTGAAACATCCCTGCTTAATGTAATGAATGACTTTCTTATATTACAGATATCTTACAAGTATTTGATCATCGCCCTTGGGCTCCAGCTGCATTTTGAAAAGGTATTTTTTATTTAAAAAAATCTCTCTGCTGGTAAAAACCCTGGTGTGAAGCAGGAGACAAAGAGTTACTTTGGGCATCATTTTACTGCCCATCCTGCATTTGTCTCATGCAGCGCTGCTTCCGTTCTGCTGCAATCCGCATTATTCAACTTGCCGTCTGCTGCGGTGAAATGACACAGCTTATGTAATGTTTGCAAGTGGTCCCAAAATTATGTCATTACATTGTCGTTTTGTTAATAATAATAATAATAATAATAATAATAATAATAATAATAAATTCATTCATTCCCCGCCCATCTGGCTGGGTTTCCCCAGCCGCTCTGGGCATCTGCCAACAGAATATTAATAATAAAAATAAAAAAGCGATAATCTGTGGCAGTTATAGTCCAAAACATCAACAGTCCACCAAGTTGGTGAAAGCTGCTGCTGCCCAGTGGCTACTTACCAGAGAGTAAGCCCCCCTGAAATGCACTCCGGTGCCCTGAAAATTCACTTTCTGATTCTGGAGGGTCAAATTTCCTTAAAAGAAGCCCGGGCCTTCCCCGCTGGCTGGATTCTAAAGGTATCTGCTGGAAAAACTAACACCAATGAAAAATCATGTTTTGGTTTTTCCTTGAGACATTAGATTGTTTCCCAAAACTGGCAGGGGTGGGTGAAAAAAAAATTAATCCCCGGGAGGAATTTCAGTCTGGAAAATGTTGCAGTTATTTGCATGCAGATGTGGGGCCAATGTGCATTTAGAACACTGTATTTTTCCGTGTAAAACTCGCCCCTGTGTATAAGACAACCCCTATTTTGGAGGATTCCAAATTAAGAAAATGGGGTGGGGGGTTGCCCCGAGTTGTTGAGCTTTTTGTGGGGTTGCCATAAGTCGCTCACCCGCCTGACCAACGCTGACAATCGCATGCATCGCCAAAGCCACAAATCGCCTGACCACTCGCCGCAAGCAGCCGCCAATCACCCACCCAATTGCTGCAGTGGCTGAAACCAATCGCCCCTCCCCACTCTGCACTATCTGTGTATAAGACGACCCCCAATTTTTAACATTATTTTATAATAGAAAAACATCATCTTATACACGGAAAACTATGGTATCTACAATCCAACACAGAGTTTAATGCACTTTGAATACCACCGATTTCAGTGGTTTTAAGTGTACTAGAATCTTTGATGGACTGGGGCCAGGATGTTCAGGGTCTGGGTGCTGTGAGGGCACTATTTTTTAAATGGGAGTGTGTGCATGCAGACTGTTTGTTCCAGATGGTGATCATGACAAGACAAGTTGCATGTACAGTGGTACCTCGGGTTAAGTACTTAATTCGTTCCAGAGGTCCGTTTTTAACCTGAAACTGTTCTTAACCTGAAGCACCACTTTAGCTAATGGGGCCTCCTGCTGCCGCCACGCCGCCGGAGCATGATTTCTGTTCTTATCCTGAAGCAAAGTTCTTAACCTGAAGCATTATTTCTGGGTTAGTGGAGTCTGTAACCTGAAGCGTATGTAACCTGAAGCGTATGTAACCCGAGGTACCACTGTATTTCCTGAAGGCTAACAGAGAACAGAGAATATATCCGAAGGTCTAGCACTCGCTTCATGCATGGGATCAGTGGGAGAATGAATGAACTTTTCTTCAAATCGGAGAATACTCACAGTGCATGTTAGAATATGACAGTTAATGGTGGAATTTTGGACATGTTTAGAAGTACATCCAGAATCGAAATTTCATTTCCATCATCAACAATACAACCTCTTTTATTTAAAAAATAGAAATAAGTCAATTGCTCTCTGTTTCAGACTGCTCTTGTTATGTGGAGGAAGACTTCTTTAACTTACGCATGTACAGGTTTTAAAAAATCTTTATTAAAAGGTCAAAAAGTACATGACTATATGGGCACCAAACATGGTGAGACACAAACAAAAAAGAGAAAAGGAAAAAGAGAAACAGAACCCGTGCAGAAGAGAAAACAAAGGGGGGAGGAACCCCCCAAAATTGTATATTTTTCGAGGTTGCTATTGTACTTCGCCAGATCTTAACCTATTACAGTATTTGTAACAATGGATTCCAAATATCATTGAATTTGTCCTTGGCAAGTCTGCGTTTATATGTAGGTTATTCATATGTTGCGAGTTTGTATAAGTCTTCAATCCAATCGTAGAAGGGAGCCGCATTTTTATTTTCCCAGTTTATCAGGATCAGTTTTTTTGCTGTGGTAAGGGCACCGAGAGTCTACTCATATTGTCCTTTCGTAAGGTACCATGTGCTGAGTATATAATTCAAGAGGATATTTTGCTCTGTAAATGTAAGGTTGTTCCATTCAGTTCTCTTGATGGTTTCAGTTACCTTCTGCCAAAAATCTATCAAAATAGGACAGTGAAAAAACATGTTTTAGAGAAGCATTATCTCTATTGCATCTCCAACGCATGTGCAGTTTTTACCAAATTATGACCCCATAGCCTTCCATACATTCAGGGAGGCATCAGTAATTTGAGGACCAGTTAATATCTGAGACAGGAGCCTGCGACCCTCCAGATGTTATTGGACTGCAACTCCTATTGCCTCTAGTTAAAAGATGCCCAACGCCCCAATGGATGATGGGAGTTGTGGTTTAGCAACATCTAGAGAGCTTCAGGTTACTCACTGCTTGCATATACCAACCAGGAGACTCCATGTGATGTATTACACAATAATATGCCTTGTTGTTTGTGCGAAGACTTGATCTGAATATTTTACCAGTTACAGTGGTACCTTTGTTTACAAACGTAATCCGTTCCGGAAGTCCATTCTTAAACCAAAGCGTTCTTAAACCAAGGCGTACTTTCCCATAGCAATGGGGGACTCAATTTACAAATGGAACACACTCAACAGGAAGCGAAACATGTTCTTATTCCAAGGCAAAGTTCACAAACCAAAACATCTTCTTCCGGGTTTGCAGCGATCTTAATCCAAGTTGTTCATAAACTAAGCTGTTCTCCAACCAAGGTACCACTGTACTGAATCAAGATAAATGCTGATGTAATAGCTCTGATCATGATCTTGGTCCCAAGAAAATCTATAGGATTTGTTTTACTATGTTACTGAGGTTGGCACTTTCTTCTCATACTCAACGGGTTTAATAACGTAGCTGGAAAGAAGCCACTCTCAATTTGCATTTCCCACGCGCCTAGCACAATTAAATACTACACAGCTAATTTTGTTTTGTTGCAGATCAAGGGTTTGCCCGAAGCTTTCAGCACTCCTAAAATAGGCTCCAATTATTCCGTTCACACCGTGGAGAAAACTTGGAAGGCTCTGCAAGATTTCCAGGGAGGAAATGCCATCTTCACCTTTCCAAACACACCCGTGAAATGTGCCGGTGCGCCGCAAAAGATCATGTACTTGTCAGAGGCGTACATGAGAAAGGTATGCGCTGTCTGCTACTGGAGTCTGAGCAGACTTGATAGATCTGTGTTGTGGCTTGAGCAGATGGCAAGATCTTTGCAATGCAAAAGGGCCAGAACTTCATCTGCACAGATATTACGCTCTTTCAAACTGCTGGGACTCTCAGCCTCTGTTCACAAAAACTTTTTAGCTATTAGGGTGGACTTCTCTCTCCTCTGCTGAGAAAGATGGTGGCAGGGAGGCTGTCCCTTGATTATGTTATAAGAAAAAAACTGCTCCCTTTCCCTTATGGGGTATTCCAAAGCCCATATAGAGTCCTTAAGTGGGTTCCCTATCGGAAGGAGGAAATAACAGAGGTCAACCAGAGAATATTGAGAAGCAAAGCGGCTAGTAAGCCTGATCTTTATTCAAGGAACTGTTGTGACAGGGTCCCCACTCACCACACGCAGGAGGGAGGAGAACCCCAAACAATGGTGCACAAGCCCTTATATAGACTTTTGAAATTGCCCACCCTCTAGCCCATGACCACCCCCCAAAACATACATACATCACCGGAGGAGGCAGAAATTTGAGTGTTGCTTCTCTTCTGTCTGCCAAGATACCTGATAATTCCCTACTTGGTTACATTATTATTATTATTATTATTATTATTATTATTATTATTATTAATTATTTATACCCCGTCCATCTGGCTGTGTTTCCCCAGCCACTCTTGGCGTCTCCCAATCAAGTGTTAAAAACAGTACAGCGTTAAATATTAAAAACTTCCCTAAACAGGGCTGCCTTCAGATGTCTTTTAAAGATAGGATAGCTGCTTATTTCCTTCACATCTGAAGGGAGGGTGTTCCACAGGGCGGGTGCCACTACCGAGAAGGCCCTCTGTCTGGTTCCCTGTAACCTCACTTCTCGCAATGAGGGAACCACCAGAAGGCCCTCGGAGCTGGACCTCAGTGTCCGGGCTGAAGGATGGGGGTGGAGACGCTCCTTCAGGTATACAGGACCGAGGCCGTTTAGGGCTTTAAAGGTCAGCACCAACACTTTGAATTGTGCTTGGAAACATACTGGGAGCCAATGCAGATCTCTCAGAACCGGTGTTATGTGGTTCCAGCGGGTAGCCTGGCCATTCCTTTGGGATGGTAAATACTTAGTTCCTGAATCTCTTACGCATATTGAAAGTGCACTCAGCTTAACAGATACTTGCCAAACTGTATTTGAAAAGGGAGGGTTAAGCCCCTACAGTCAAAAGACCATTCAAAAGCTTTTCCCATTTCCTTCCTCCTTGCAGAGAAATATTTGAGGTCAATTTGGGAGAGTCAAAATGGCTTCAGGATTGTTCTCCTGTATTATTTCAGACAGGCGGTTTATATACTTATGTATGCGTTTGCCTTGTACATTTATTTTATATTTTCGACCTTAGAATTCTTATAACAATTACGTTGATTCATTAATCACATTTTTTTTCCAGCTGTGTCTGCATATATTTGCAAAGGACTAAAGCAATTGTTTTGAAGAAAGATGTGCACTTTGCTTTATAGATGGTGTGTGCGCAATAGTGCGATGTTGAATTTCACCCTTTCCAAAAAAAAGTTGTACTAAATTATGTTGGATATTTTTGGTGGGTGTTGTAAAAAATAGCATTCTGTCTCCTGCTTCTGGTTTGCCACTCATAACTATGGTTTTGAACCATTACTTTTGAATTATCCTCTTGGTAGACTGGGAAACGACCGAAAGCCAAAATAATCTTCAATACTGCCCTTGGAGTGATTTTTGGTGTTCAGAAGTATGCCGATGCTCTGCTAGAGATTATCAAATCGAGGGACATTACAGTCAACTACAAATACAACCTTGTTGAAGTTCGAGCTGATAAACAGGAAGCAGTCTTTGAGAACTTGGACAAAAGTGGGGAGACGGAGGTCTATCAGGTCAGGAAAATGAGATTTTTTCAGGTGCATCTATGTACAAAGTGAATTACTGTGACTATCGTGATTTTCCTGTTTGTTAGAAAAGGCAGGAAATAGTAAATCAAAATGTTGATCGAAGTATGTGATGTGAGAAGGTGAAAATGGTTGATACAGTGTAGATGAAAAACTGACCAAACAACTTTGAGCGCTGGGATGGTTGAACTATGTGGATGAGATTGCAACAGACCCCTCCACCTATGGCACACTTTGGTGAAGAAGTGGGGGGGGGGGAAATTTATAAGGACATTAAAAAGGTAAAAGGACCCCTGACCATTAGGTCCGGTTGTGGCCGACTCTGGGGTTGCGGCGCTCATCTTGCTTTATTGGCCGAGGGAGCCGGTGTACAGCTTCCAGGTCATGTGGCCAGCATGACTAAGCCGCTTCTGGCAAACCAGAGCAGTGCACGGAAACGCCGCTTACCTTCCCGCTGGAGCGGTACCTATTTATCTACTTGCACTTTGACGTGCTTTCGAACTGCTAGGTTGGCGGGAGCAGGGACTGAGCAATGGGAGCTCACCCCGTCGCGGGGATTCGAACCGCCGACCTTCCAATTGGCAAGTCCTAGGGTCTGTGGTTTAACCCACAACACCACCCGCGTCCCTATAAGGGACATTATATAAGGACATTATCTTAATAATAATAATAATTGCAACAACAACAAATATTTATTTATTTATTCATTCATTCCCCAGCCACTCTGGGCGGCTCCCAACAGAATATTAAAAACATGACAATCATCCCTGGGAATACCTTTTTTCTGAAAGAATTTTTATTGGTATGACAAAATAAATCACACAATTATCCTTTTTTTCTTAACATCTTAAAATAAAACAAGATTCGTCCGAATCCTGAGACTTCCTTCCTCCCCTCCACAGGTCCTTTATATATCTTAATCCACTGCATATTAATAGTTCCTTCCAATTACGGTCCTCCAAAATATCCAAAGTCTTTATAACATTGCAAGAGTTATTCAAAGCCTGCCAAAGAGTTCAAGTGTTTCCAGTGTTCTTTTAAATATGATCTATATCTGTCCCATTCTCGGTTGAAGTTTTGATCCTCCTGATTTCTGATTTTCAAAGTCAATTCTCCTCCAATAATTTCATTGGCCAGTCTGCTTTTGTTGCCATCTTACTCTCTTCCTGTTGCTGGGCAAGCAACATCCTTGCAGCTGTAGTCGCATAAATGCATCTTAGCCAGGGAAAATTCTCTCTCTCTCTCTCTCTCATGCTAAGCTATAGTATCAGATATCCAATTGTGCTTGAACTCAGGGCCGGATTTAGGTCTGATGAGGCCCTAAGCTACTGAAGGTAATGGGGTCCTTTATATGTCCAGCTGTCCTTTGTCAACAACAAATTGTCACTGTTTTTTGTGTTGAATATTTGCTGTCTGGTAATTTATGGACCTAATAGGTATCTAAAGCCATTTGCATATGCAGAATGTAGGCACCCTATATATAGAAATGAGCAAACCAGTGATATTTTAGGGAGCAGGCTAGCAGACGGGGCCCATTATTTACATCCTAGGAGCCTACACAACACAAAACACTGTTGCTGTATGAAGGTTTTGTTTTATTTGTTTTTTATCTTATATTTTGGAAATGTTCATCCGGTGGTTTTTTTCCCTTTAAATTTGGGGGGGGGCCAAGAGAGTGTGGCCCTAAGCTATAGCTTGTTTAGCTTATACGTAAATCCGGCACTGCTTGAACTCTTTTCTCTTTCTCTGGATGCAGTACGAAATGCTTCATGTCACACCCCCCATGGGACCCCAAAACGTGCTTCTGAACAGTCCGGTTTCAGATGCTGGGGGCTGGGTCGATGTAGACAAGGAGACATTGCAGCACAAGAAATACCCAAATGTGTTTGGGATCGGAGACTGCACTAACCTCCCCACTTCAAAGACGGCTGCAGCTGTAGGTAAGAGTGGCTTTTGCAATTAGCTAATTCAATGTTAATTCAATGTTAGGGACGCGGGTGGTGCTGTGGTCTAAACCACAGAGCCTCTTGGGCTTGCCGATCGGAAGGTCGACGGTTTGAATCCCCATGACGGGGTGAGCTCCCATTGCTCTGTCCCAGCTCCTGCCAGCCTAGCAATTTGAAAGCATGCCAGTGCAAGTAGATAAATAGGTACTGCTCCGGCGGGAAGGTAAATGGCATTTCCGTGCGCTGCTCTGGTTTCGCCAGAAGCGGCTTAGTCATGCTGGCCACATGACCCGGAAGCTGTCTGCTCAGCCAGTAAAGCGAGATGAGCGCTGCAACCCTAGAGTCGTTCACGAGTGGACTTAACGGTCGTCAGAAGAAGAAGAGTTTGGATTTGATATCCTGCTTTATCACTACGCTAAGGAGTCTCAAAGCGGCTAACATTCTCCTTTCCCTTCCTCCCCCACAACAAACACTCTGAGATGAGGCTGAGAGACTTCAGAGAAGTGTTACTGGCCCAAGGTCACCCAGCAGCTGCATGTGGAGGAGCGGAGACGCGAACCCGGTTCACGAGATTACGAGTCTACCGCTCTTAACCACTACACCATACTGGCCCAGGGGTCCTTTACCTTTTTTTCTTAATTCTGTGTTAACATAAATACTACATTTAATTCTTATTTAATGTAGCCTTTTTCGCTCTCTTTGCAACCCCTTTTGATATCTGAAGAAAAGCAGATTTGCTTGCTGCAAATCTGGCCTTAAACACTGAGTCTTAAGCTTCGTATACTGAAAGAAGCCTTTTATGGATCTGATGTCAGAAAGATCAGAAATAGGATTAAAAAAAAAAAGTTTATTTGACTGACCGAGGGTGCATCTACATACAGGGGGAAAACGCTATTAAAATTAAATCATTATAACAAAAGGGAAAATCGCTATAGAAAAATCACACAGAAATTCTTTTGCTCTCTGGCTCCATCTGGTGTTGCATGTTCATAACGCATTCAAAATACTGTTTTTTGACTAATGCAGCTGAGTTAGAATAGATTTAGTCCCTGAGCCTGAGGTTTCGCATACTTGTTCTACCCCAACCCAATTTTTTCAAGGCCTCAGATATCAGCCTTTCCAGCCTTTGTATCTGAAGCTCCAGTTTTGTTAAACTGGAGATACCAAGGATTAGATCTCAGACCAATTCAGCCAGCTAGCCCTGGGGATTATCTAATTGATTGTTTATTTTTATTGTTATTCATGTTTTTACACTGTATTTTATGCTGCTTTTATAATTAAGTGTTTTAAAAGTGTTTTAAATTTGTTGTTAGCTGCCCTGAGCCCGGTTTTTGAACCAGGAAGGGCGGGGTATAAATAAAAAATTATTTCTTCTTATTATTATTATTTCTTTAGATCTTCTCTGCTCTGCTCCTGAGCTACACAACTGCTCTCTCTAATCTGCCCTGTTATAAGCAAGCATTGGTCTTTAGTTAGTCATGCCTTAGAACAAATTAATAGGACTTATTTACAACCAATTTTAGCTAGACCAGGGTCCATCTATTTTATAACTGACTAAATTATGGTACAAATTAGTGGATATTCTAACAGAGGAAGCTGTGTTGGTCCGTTTAGAAACAGAAAAAGAAATTGCAACCCAGCACCAATTAGAAACTTTGGCAATGAAGTGGTCTATGAGTAGCTTAAATAATAATAACTAAAAACGATAAGAGGAATACACAGAGAAATGTTTCAAGGGGTAGCGCTTAAAAATAGAATTTTATTTTTAGACTCTAGTGTTCCTATTTCGGGAAGAAAAACGTTGCGGCACTAATGTAAACAAACCATTATCTCTTCTGTAGCTGGCCAGTCTGGTGTGCTTGATAAAACCATTTCTTGCGTAATGAAGGGCAAGCCTCCAGCTAAAAAGGTAAGCTGGTTAATTCAATTAATTGGTCATTAAATGGGTAGTATTATCACTTCGGGGGGACGCGGGTGGCGCTGTGGGTAAAAGCCTCAGCGCCTAGGGCTTGCCGATCGAAAGGTCGGCGGTTCGAATCCCCGCGGCGGGGTGCGCTCCCGTCGTTCGGTCCCAGCGCCTGCCAACCTAGCAGTTCGAAAGCACCCCCGGGTGCAAGTAGATAAATAGGGACCGCTTACAAGCGGGAAGGTAAACGGCGTTTCCGTGTGCGGCTCTGGCTCGCCAGAGCAGCGATGTCACGCTGGCCACGTGACCCGGAAGTGTCTCCGGACAGCGCTGGCCCACGGCCTATAGAGTGAGATGGGCGCACAACCCTAGAGTCTGGCAAGACTGGCCCGTACGGGCAGGGGTACCTTTACCTTTATTATCACTTCGAATGAAGAATTATATTTTTGATAAAGATCCCATGGGCAATGACTTAAGTTTTGTTACATATTTTGAGGCAGTATTCTTTAACTTATTAAAGATTTATGATATGCTAAACTCTCGCAAATTTATTTATGGGTTTTTCTGCAATGTTAATTGTTTAATACTGCTAACATACAACAGCAGGCAAGAGAACTTCCAAATTGCCATTATATCCCTGCTTTTGGACGTAAGCCAAGCCAGTAGAAAAAGACAAAACATCATAATTAGAACTGCATACTGGGGAGGTATACTCTCTCTTTGCATCTTTATTTTAAATTTTATTTTGACAAATTAATAGTAATAAATAAATAAGAATAAAAATGTGCATCCCACTGCTGAGACCATTCCATTGTAACTAAGCAACCTCCCCAAATTTTAACACCTCTTGCAGTGGTTTGACCCCTTTCCATTTTAACAGTACAAATTCTCCATATCTCCTCAAAATAATTTCTACTGAATATTCCGTTTTGCCTTAATGGCACATGTTAATTTATCATTAATAGCTATATCCCACACCTCTTTATACCATACTTCCATTCTATATTCTGCTTGCCCTTTCAACTTCTTTGCTATAATAATTCGTGCAGCTGTCAATAAATTTGTGAACAAGTCCTTCCTAGCCTGTGAACCTTCCACCCCATCATAAATTGATAATAATGCTACTTCTGGACTTTTGGTCAGCTTTAACCCAGTGGTTTCTGTTATCTCCTTAAACACCCTTTGCCCCCAAAAATTGTACGTTTACACCCCCACCACATGTGAACATAATTCCTTGTTTCCTGGCATCCCCTCCAGAATAACACCGAATATTCCTTGTTTATTTGATTTAATCTGACTACATTAAGTACCATCTCCAAACTCATTTTTAATAATTTATATACCATGTTGTATGAAAGAGGTAAAGAGATAGAATTACACAAAGGCTATTAGTCGTACCTTGGTTTTCAAACAGTCTGGGTCTTGAACGTTTTGGCTCCCAAACACCCCAGACCCAGAAGTGAGTGTTCGATTCTTTTGGAAGCCAAGTGTCCAACGGGGCTTTCAATTGGCTGCAGGAGCTTCTTTGGTTTTCGAACATTTTGGAAGTTGAACAAACTTCTGGAACAGATTCCGTTCGACTTCCAAGGTACGACTGTATTTTACATAAGCCAGGCATGTCCAAGTCCGTTTGGGGGGCTAATCTGGCCTGTTAGCCGGTTTAATCTGGCCCCTGTGGCAGTTTATGTCCTGAGGTAAAGGTAAAGGTAAAGGTACCCCTGCCCGTACGGGCCAGTCTTGCCAGACTCTAGGGTTGTGCGCTCATCTCACTCTATAGGCCGGGAGCCAGTGCTGTCCGGAGACACTTCCGGGTCACGTGGCCAGCGTGACATCGCTGCTCTGGCGAGCCAGAGCCGCACACGGAAACACCGTTTACCTTCCCGCTAGTAAGCGGTCCCTATTTATCTACTTGCACCCGGAGGTGCTTTCGAACTGCTAGGTTGGCAGGCGCTGGGACCGGAACGACAGGAGCGCACCCGCCGCAGGGATTCGAACCGCCGACCTTTCGATCGGCAAGTCCTAGGTGCTGAGGCTTTAAACCCACAGCGCCACCTGCGTCCCATGTCCTGAGGTAAAATCCTTTAAAAAGCTCAACAGCTTCAATCCTTAAAAAAGGTTAAAAACTTAGGTCAGCCCTCACGGCCCTTCACTTCATCGAATCTGGCCCTCGACATAAGCAGACTGGAGGGATCCTTCGGGGGTTGGGGAAACCTGAGAAATTGTTTTGCAATATTCAAGTGAAGTTTATTTGGTTCCATTATGTAAAATGTACACCACAAAATCTTTTATAGTATGATGGATACACATCCTGTCCCCTGGTAACCAACTACAACCGTGCGATCCTGGCAGAATTTGATTACAGCGCGCAGCCTTTAGAAACGTTTCCTTTTGACCAGAGCAAGGAGCGGCTGACAAGTTTTCACATGAAAGCTGATCTCATGCCTTTCCTTTACTGGCATGGGCTATTGAAGTAAGTATCCCTTGTGTCTATAAGCCAAACTAACTTGCGCGGGTTTTGGAAAAATTGACCGACGTAAAATGCATGGGCACTTTTTGCGGCACAGGTTTGTGCAGTGCGGCAAACCAGGTGCACATTTCTTAACTGCACAGGTAGGTTTTCGTCTCAACGGTGAATGTCTAAAATAAAAGCCACCGTCATAGAGAAAATTTAACATCTTATATTGGGGGAGGAATTAAAGATGCAGTTATGTGTTTCAAAGACGCTTTGATAGAGGGAAGTTCTATATGTGCTATGAGTTTAATGCCGAAGTACACAAAACAAGCAAAAGGGACGCGAGTGGCGCTGTGGGTTAAACCACAGAGCCTAGGACTTGCCGATCAGAAGGTCGGCGGTTCGAATCCCCGCAACGGGGTGAGCTCCCGTTGCTCGGTCCCTGCTCCTGCCAACCTAGCAGTTCAAAAGCACATCAAAGTGCAAGTAGATAAATAGGTACCGCTCGGGCGGGAAGGTAAACGGCGTTTCCGTGCGCTGCTCTGGTTCGCCAGAAGCGGCTAAGTCATGCTGGCCACATGACCCAGAAGCTGTACGCCGGCTCCCTCGGCCAATAAAGCGAGATGAGCGCCGCAACCCGAGTCGGCCACGACTGGACCTAATGGTCAAGGGTCCCTTTACCTTTTACACCAAACAAGCACTTTAAATTTAAAAGAGTTTAGCGATCTGCCGTTCCAAATGGTTTGACGCAGCTTTTGACTTACATAGCTGCAGAGAGGGAAATTTGACTTGCAAAGTTCATTTTTCAGAGGGATAGCTTTAACTGCAGTCCTAACGCCTGGGTTGGCCAGAGTGAGGCTTGACACAACCATCGCACCAATTTAGGGTCATAAGAGTCTGCTGGATTACACCAGTGCCCTCATCTTGTCCAGAATCTGGACAACTTGCTGCCCATGGGAAGCCCACAAACAGAACCACCTCCTAGGAGAAGCTGCCATTTCCAGCAGTTAAGTATTCAGATCCTCAATCCATTTATTTTATCCTCTTTGAAAGAGATCCAAGTTGGAGGCCGTCCATCTCTTGTACGCAAGGCAGGGGAGCAGGGAAGAATGGCCCTTTACTGAGCCATCTCTCAGGCTGGTGCAGCAAGATGCCCAGATCAGGCCCATTGCTGTCAAAGGACAGCAACTCTCATGCCAACCCCAGAAATCCCCAATTTCATGGGCTTCTGCCTGCCTGTTTGGGTGGGTACAACCAGTGGCACTCCCTGACAGTGGAGCTCAACTATAGTAAACAAAGTTATACGTACACTCGTACATTGGAAGTCGAATGGAATCTGTTCCGGAAGTCCACTCAACTTCCAAAACCTTCGGAAACCAAAGCACGGCTTCTGATTTGCTGCAGGCAGCCCCTGCAGCCAATCGGAAGCAGTGTCGGATGTTCAGGTTCTAAAGAACGTTTGCAAACCGGAACTCTCGCTTCTGGGTTTGCAGCGTTTGGGAGGCAAAACGTCCGATTACCAAGGCGTTTGGGATCCAAGGTACGACTGTATTTCATTTCACAGTCCTAAAGAAACAGTGTTTTTGGTAGGTAATGTGTATTTAAAAACAAACTAACACAGGTATTGTATTCTGTCCCCCCCCCCCTTTTTTTAAAAAAAAACACCACCCAATTTTCCCCTTGGTTTCCAAATTTTACATCACAGATTAAACACGAGCTATACAAACAAGCCATCACTTCAGTCAATAGCAACCATTTCAATTTATATTCTGTCATGCCAGTTACATAGCTTACGCAAATAAGAGAAGGGAATCTTGATTGCAAGGAAAGCACCAACATTAAATACAAAAGGTTTTTTTGGTGAATAGGATGATGAAGCTTGAAGGGATCTTTATCCCAGTTCTAACCCTTGAAAAATTTCTTCTAGGGGATACTGGGGAGGTCCGGCTCCGATACGAAAACTGCTACACCTAGGGTTGAAGTAGCCGCCAGTCCTTTTGTACCTGCTATGAACCACAAAAGTACGACCACAGCTTTAAAAGGTATACAGCAAGATATAGAAACAGATGTCCTGTGCAGTTAGTATATCAATAAAAGTTTCTGAGCAGACTAGAGCTTCAGACTCATAAATACTTGGATTTTATGTATTATTTTTTAAAGCAAATAAACTTGGTACTTTTCAATGTCTTTGTAGGTCCCGAATCTACATTTTAAAGAAAACTTTATCCAGCTAGTAAATGCACCATCCAGCATAGTGTAGCAACAGTTGCATTTTTAGCTGTTGACTTTCTATTTTGAGTCTACCCATGAGATAATATACTGAGTTGTGTTAGCTTATATATGCGCTCTCTTCCCAGCTTTAACAGCTGGTGTAGTGGCTAACCGTTGACCTTGAATGATCCCAGTTCAAGAAGTGTTACAAGTCTGTAATACAGAGATAATGGTATACCTTACAAATCTGTCAGAAGGGCTACAGGGAAAATTCAGAAAGCGTTCTATAAAATGTGTCATCGTTACAATTGTACCAACTCCTTATCAGCAAGTGTCTCCTTACATAGAACTTATCTTTGTAACAAATATGGAACATTCTGCATTTGTTCAATGAAAACCAGGCTTTATTTTGTGGCCTTTTCTATCAGTACTGCCAATATCTGCATTGTTAAACGTATCACACTGCTGAAGTCAATATTCCCTAGATAGCAGCCAAGTCAGTGGGAACTGTCTCAACTGCCTGTTTCCTGTGATTTGTCAGCAATTGCAGAATTTTCTTCCGTTGGGGAGGAGTCATGGCTCAGTAGGATTGAGCCTATGTTTTGTAGGTAGTGTCCCAGGCACAATCTCTAATTCAAAGAATGAGATGGGTGGTGTAAAACACCTTTTTGCCTGGAAAGCAGCTGGCAGTAGGTAATACTAAGCTAGAGAAGCTCTGGGGTGGCCAGGGGCACATTTGCTGTTTGCCAGCTGCACCCATTTTATTGAGATGCCCGATTTGATCAGTGACACACACTTCAGTTACAGCATGTTACAATAATCTAAACAGGATATATGTGCAGCTGCCTTTGAAAAGTGCTCGGAAACTTCAACGGGTTCAAATAATTGCAGCCAGGTTGTTGACTAGGGCTGGTTATAGGGTGCATACGACTCCCTTGTTAATAATTAACAATTTTATTATTTGTATGCTGTCCATCTGACTGGGTTGCCCCAGCCACTCTGGGCGGCTCCCAACAAAATACTAAACATGCAATAAAACACCAACCATTAAAAACTTCCCTCAACAGAACTGCCTTCAGATGTCTTCTAAAAGTCAAATACCGTATTTTTTGCTCTATAGGACGCACCTTGTTTTGGAGGGGGAGAACAAGGAAAAAAAATTCTCCCCCTCTCTGCTCAGCGCCCCTTCAGCGAAGCGGCAGGAGAAACAGAGCCCCTTCCATTGCTCCTCCCACTTCGCTGAAGGGGCGCTGCGCAGCTCTCCCTCTCGGCTGAAGCCAGGAATCTTGCTCTCCGAAAGGAACATGAAGCCTGCGGAGCACAGCGGGATCTTGCGCTGTGCTCCGAAGGCTTCAGGCGGCTATCCCTGAAGCCTGGAAAGCGAGAGGGGTCAGTGCGCAACGACCCCTCTCGCTCTCCAGGCTTCAGCGAAAGCAACGCGAAGCCAAGGAGCGCGGAGGGAGGGCTCCCTCTGCGCTTTGGAGGCTTCGCGTTGCTATCGCTGAAGCCAAGGAGCCTGCATTCGCTCCATAGGATGCACACACATTTCCCCTTAATTTTTGGAGGGGAAAAAGTGCATCCTATAGAGTAAAAAATACGGTAGTTGTTTGACATCTGATGAGGGCATTCCACAATTGCTCCACTAGCCCTCTGTCTTTCCAGGTGCAATTCAAAGTGCTGTTAACCTATTAAGCCCTATATGGCTTAGATCCAAACTATCTGAAAGACCGTATTCCCTCATGTGAACCTGCCTGGATTTTGAACTCTTCAGGAAAGTTCATTCCCAGATTTTGGTACTCCCTCCCTAGAGAAGCTAGACTCTTTGTTGTCCTCCTGCTGGCAGGAAGACTTTTGTGTTCCAACAGGCTTTTGGGAACTGTTTTAATGAAAGGGCTGTTGCTGTGCTGTTTCTATTGTAATTATTTGCATGGTTTTAACAGATTATAGTTTTAATTATATCAGTGTTTAATTGTTCTTTAATTATTGCTTATTATTTTAGTGGTTCTTATTTTTAGCTGTAAGCCACACTGAGAAAAAGGTGGGTTATAAATAATAATAGACAAGGCAGTCTGACCAGGTATTAGGAAGCATCCTGTACTATTGACAATATAATTTGCACAATACAACCTCTAGGATTCCTATGCAAATATAGATTAGTGTTAATTTAAAAAAAGCACAAAATAAATCTCAAAAGCTTTGAAGGTGGTAAATGCTTTTTAATCAAGGCCACATTTTAGAGACTTATGTCAGCAAGAAAAATGTATTTATTAACAGCAATGGGAAAGAAATCTTCATAGAAGTTGGAACTTTACTGCCAAGCCAGGCATATGTAGGAGAAAAAAAATAAGTTACTGAACAAGTGTCTTCTACTTCACAAGAATCCTCCAACCACTTGTCTATCTCTGTTAAAAAAAAAGAAAACAAACATTAAGGGAGTGACTGCTGCACATACTTTAAATAAACACATTTTCTAATAGAGGTAATTATATGCTTATAACAGTTGTATGACATGGGATGTAGTCTTTATATAGTTGAAATAATCTGAAAAAAATCAATATTTGAGAGATTTCTCACCATCAAGTACCTGTTAGCAACCCTAGCGGGTAGCCCAAATTAAAATACAGAGCATTGATGCACATGCACACAGATGTACTTTTTTCGAACTGTAATGAGTTAATCATCTTACATGGGACAATCTGCAACTCATTTTGCCCCCCTACTTAAGAACAATTCCTACCAGCAGTTCTTCTAAGCTGTTCTGAATGTGTTCATAGACTTCATGAAAGAGCTCCTCTCTTGATTTTGTTCCATCCAATTGAACTGAAATATAAAACACCACCATTTGAAGAAGGAAGGAAGCAAGCAAGCTGAAACAAGCCAGTTATTTTAAGTATTGCTATTTCTGTGTATGCCAGGCGCACAGATCTGCATATGTAATACATTTTTAAATCTGGCCAACAAGAGTTAGGGGGAGGAGGAAAGAATGTTGTTTAAGATTCACAAAGATCTTCCTGAAGAAATGCAGTTTCATTTTCATGAATATATACTGGATTATTCAAAGTTTTCAGACCATTTACAGGCCTGATTCAGATGTAACAAAATACTGGTTTGCTTTTACAATGTTTCTGATCCTAGCAACAAACCATGGCAATTCAGCAAACAGGAAATAAAGGAGAGTTCAAAGTACAGTTTGTTAACAAGCTAGGACAGTGGTTTTCAGCCAGTGTGCCGTGGCACTCTGTGGTGCCTTGAATGATGGTTGGGTTACCCTGGCCTCTGCTTCTCTTTCCTCCCCTCCTCTGATGCCCTCAACACATCTCTGCCTCCCAAAGGCTTGCACAGCTGTTTGTTGAGCTCCCCAGGCAAACAGTGCCTCTGGGGATGGCCAAGGGTTGCTTCCCAGGCACCTGTGGGGCAGTATGAGGCACCTCTCTTTGGGACAAGGTGGGCAGCTCAGAGATCAGGGGCAGCAGCTGCCCAAAGGACTCCCCAATGAGAGGGGAGAAGAGAGGAGGCTGAGGGAACCCTCCACAAAGGAGGGGTGAGGGGCTGCCAGCTCTGCAGGCAAGGGGTGACATAACTGGGCTCCTGAGCCCCACAGGGGTGCAACAGAAAGAATGTAGTTGGATCAAGGGAGCCGTGGACCCAAAAAGGTTGAAAACCTCTGAGCTAGGATACTGATTACAGATTACTGTAAAGTTATGTGCCTGCAGTGAGTAAAATGGCCCCAGACAACTAAGCAAGCCCATCCAAACCACCTACCCTTTTAGCCCTATAACTATAACTCTCTTCAGCCCCATCAAGAGAGATGGGAGTTGTAGTTTAGCAACATCTGGAGGGCCAAAGGTGTCCTAGCCCAAAGACAGATTTGTGAGCTTTGAGTACACTATATCCCACCCATTTTTAATTTGAAAACTTGTTCTGAATCGTGGGGAAGAACGTTTAGTCTCCATATGGCATGGAAGCATCCTTTGCAGCCCTAGCCATTTGAAGCTGTGTAAAGGAGAGAATCTGGGCTGCTGGAAAAGGACTACTTTGAAGTGAAGGCTGGGCAGATACACAGTTGTTATCAATTCAACACTGCCCTACTCAGTCATATACTGAGTCAATTCATTATGAAGTTATTTAATGAGCAAAAGTTGCAGCTTGAGCAAATCGATCATTTCAATAACACTAATATTTCACACCGGTAAAATCACCGTGGGAACACTGCCTTATAAAATCTTAAAATAAACTTATAGCACCTACCTCACAGAATACAATCATCTTTAAAACTGACCCCACGTCCCAATTTAAACTTACCCACATCAACATTAAGGTCTTCCATTAGCATCTTATGCTTGACATACATGGGCCAGACGTGACCGTCAAACAAACCCGGTGGATCAGGTACAGTGTAATTCCTTGAACTAAATATTTGGGGAGGAGGGAGAAAAACACACCGTAAGTTTCAGCTTGAATGTGATTACTATCGAGCAAATTAAGAGAGTCCTTTGCTCATGCAAACCCCATTTACTTATTCAGTCACCTCAACATGACTTTTCAGATTATCAAACAACTTGTGCTTTTTGTAGGGGGTGTGTTTGGCTTACCTTCTCCTCCTCTTGCATTCTTCATAGGGAATAGAAAGAAAATACCGGTAGTCAAATACATCAATCAAGGGCCTAAAAAGAAAAGGAAAGGTGACCTGGGTGGTTTTTTTTTAATACAACAAAACAAAGGAAAACCCCTCATGAATACCAAATGGTCTAGCTTCCTTTATCCAACAATGGGCATCAACACAATAGTTACATCCAGCAACCAGGACATTGCCTCTTACGTGGCTCATAGCCAAGAACTATTGACAGGCATATTCCCCATGAATTGTCTAATCCCCTATTAAAGCCATTTAAGCTGCAACCATGTTCTGCAGCAGTGAATGTAATACATTAAGCTCCTGTGAAAGAATATTTTCTTTTCTGTCGCAAATGGTCTGC